CTTTCTACAACAGAAATAGAACTCAGTATCATTGATGCATCCTCGCAGGTGGGTTGTGCTTCAACTAGAATAGTAGCCAATCTGCCTTGATCCCAAACGCTTCAGCAGCGATCGTGCACCTCATTAAGAGGGCTAGCTCATGACAATGCATGCTCTCACACAAAGAATGGAATGAACACATTTGCAGAGATTCACAAGTGCTCTGCAGTTCCTGTTCCCTTGATATAAAAGTCCCAATCCCCGGTGCTTCTTGTCCCTCCCCTTTTCCCCATTCCTCCCCAAGTAGGCCTGCCGATCGTTAGCATGTTTTTTCTTCTACTATCTACTGGTGGGAAGTAGTGACCATAGACTTGACACCCACGTTGGCTGCTCCTCTGCGCTTGGGCTTCAAACTGCTTTTTGCTACTTAACATCATCTTTGGAGCCTCCTCTTTTAGAGGGTCCTTATTATTCGGGTCTTGCGATGGAGACTGCATACAACATATCCTCATAATTCTATTGCACAGCTGTGGCACCATGAGCATCACCAGCTGAATTTTTAGAATATGACTGGCAAGTTGCTTCGCTTTGATAGCAATTGCAGTTGTGACAAACAACAACACAACGACTTGTATGAGACCACAAGACTAATGTTCACTCATCATCGATTGATGCTAAGCATCTGCTCCAAGCTTTAATTGTTGAACAGCCGTATCTGAGATGTGTCTAAACAATTGATATGTGTCACTGACCACAATACAATCTGGCCTATGCAACATTGTTCTTGTACGCTCTTGCAGATCAGTTCCACATATGTTGGTATTGCTGAAAAAATGAAGACAACGCTTTGCCCACACAATGAAAGCAGAGATTTGCTGGATGGAGAGAAACTGAAGTGAGTTCGCCCCAATGCGCAAATGCCCACAACCCACCATGAGCAAGAACTGAAGTACGTACACGATGGTGGACATACTCAGCATGGGCTTCCAGTCTTCTTGCAAGATATATAGGCACACGTTCCCTTCAAGATCAATGTTGGGATGGAATACGTGCACAGCAAGGCACTTTAACAATAACCAGATAGTTGTAGGCACAGATGGGCAGTCAACAACTGCACAGCATCACAGATGATTCGTCCAATATAGGGTGCCTTTTCTTGCATGAAAGTACAGAGTGCCTCAATACCAACAACTGCCAAAAAGGCCCTTCACTAAGAGTTAATTACAAGGACAAGAATGGGGGATATATATATTCCCAGCCTGAGAGCTGCACCAGGAGGCATCTCTGGAGTACTTCACCATCAATCAGACAGTTCTGCCAACAACCAAAGCATGCAGCCATCAAACAGGGCACGAATAGCGATTGAGCGCGTGTGTGGAATCTCATTTCCTTGTCAGCCATCCTTGTTAGATTACTAGGGGTCTCCTGAGTACTTACCATTCAGATCCCTCAAATAGGCGACCGCAAAGAGCGCGCTTGCATAGGTCGTGGAGAAGGTTGTTGAACCTTGGAAAAGAAATGAACAAATGATCGGCTTCATAAATTCTACAAGAACTGCCAATGCATACCAAGGAACTGGGGAGACAAGTCCATGAGGAAACACCCACAGGTAACACAAAAACACTAAGCCACAGCGTTGGTGGAGCAAGTGGTGGCAGTTGCAATAGGATTCTCCCATTGCACTGGCCAGAATTGTTCAGCAAATCATATTCCAATGGCGTTCCGCTTTCCAGCACCTCGTACTCCAGCAATCAATCACCTAGCCAATACCTTGTTGCAGCTGTTAGGCCCGAAGGGCTTGTTGCCCATCTGGACGGAGGTGGCCATGCCTGCAGTTGGGTCCAACCTGAGCCTGAAGACCGTCTTCAGAGCGGGCGTCAGGCGCCCGCGCTCCTCACCTTAATCCATTCGTCGTAGTGCTCGTGATGCACACACCACCTGACAGAATAGGGCGAGGCTCTTTGGGAGCATCGTTGCCCCTGGTCTTTCTCCTGCATTGGCTCCTGGTCCACAACACACGACTCGCTTCAGTAAGCTAACAACCCGTTTGATTGCGGTCGTTGGGATAGTCATCAGTGCCACTTCATCGCAATGTTTGCAAGCCCCCTGGGGCCCACAGAACCAAGACCTTTTCCAGCACGACAGGGAGGGAGGGGAAAATTCACTGCCCTTTGGCGGCTGCCTGGCTATAGCAGGATTTCTGAAGGAGCTGTCCCCTACCTGAAAAACGTCCGTTGGGTCTAACACTTCCTGTAGGTCGACATGAATGAAGGAAACAACAATCTCCCTCGGGTAACACTACAATTGGGGCAAGTGCTCAGCAAACAAACTCCAGCATATGAGGTCAGGCTTTGGAACCTGTTGTTGTATGGCGTTGACGTCCCACGTTCGCGTCCAGGGCGTGCATGGCCACCTTGTTGTTGCATTGGTCAATGTTCAACGGGGCAAGGTGTGGCGAGACCCCCGCATGGGCAGCCCGCCGACGCGTGAGCACGCGTTCAGCAGCCGCTCACGTCGGCTAGTCATGGGCGCGCCCATGAAGTGGCCACCTATCGACGCGTGGGGTGCACCATGTGCGGCCCGGCGTGGTAGATATGGGCGGACCGACGCGTGGGGCAGCATATGCATACGTAGGCATGTGTAGCAATTGGGCCTGTGTGGGGGCGCGTAGGCCTACATGGGCATTTGGACGCATCGGATCAGCGTTCCAAGCGTTTGCACCTGAACATGTCGGCAAGTGAGGCACCGCGAATTACCCGACGCTCGCCCACGGCCTGTACGGCATCCCCACGCCTGGAAACGCGTCGGCCGTGGGGCCACGTTGCCCAACGTGGGCCTGCCCACGGTTCTGTAACTGTAGTGATAAGCATTGTTGCATCGTCGTGAACGGGCTGAGAGGTCGTTTGGGAACACACGGTTACAAGATGTATCCAAACACTTGCAACTTGTTGCTTCCCTATTCAAAATCTATTGTCAAGGCTGCGTGTTAGAGCCAATCGGCTTGGCAAATCGGGGCATGCTCTTGGGGGTTTCAAGGGGGAGCCATTACACACATGGGAGGGCTTGGCTTTGGGGACATCGGGTGCCAACATGACGGGGAGTATCCAAGTATATGATGTCATGAAAATGACTGATGCTCACAGGTCACAGCCGGAGGTAAAACCGAGCATGATTGAACGATGAAACATGACATTGTATGGCCGTGTGGAGAACGGAATGTGACAATTGGTGGTATGGTGAGCGGTGTAGTCGCACATTCATGTTGACAGTAATGTGTTCTATCTGATTAACCATATAGACATGGTGCCCACTGAGCGAATGGGCATGCCATGTGAATCCGGTCAAAATTGTGGGTTGCTATGCAACTTGGGCGTGGCTCCTGTTGTCTAACGGCTGAGAGATGTGAATGTTGAGGTGAATCACTACCCCAACTGTCCATACAGACTGTACGTAGGGGCATGACTATAAGAGACACATGGATGAGGACCTATGCGGAGATCGCTGCTATGAGACGGGTCGTTGAGAGACGGGCTGATGAAATTGCGCATCATGCTGGGAGTTTGCCATCCAATAGTGAGGGAGGCATGAGACGAAGGGCAGCCAGGATTGTCGATGCACTGGGCTTCTGCCGCAGAAGGTCAGGTCTTGGGGGACAAATGGCATGAGAATTCAGAGCGAACGTGGCGAGATGTTGACGCTGATCCCCCCACAACCAGCGACACCTTTGACCATGTTGAAGGCTGCTTGTTTGAGCACATTCGCATGGTGACTCTTGCGATGAATGTGCAATTGTGGAGGGACTGGATCCTTGAGGATAGGCATGGAGAGCCGGACTGGGCCATGGGCTTGGAGGCCATTCTGGCCGGGGGAGGGGGTGTTTGGTGGAGAACAGACGTCTTTGATCTGGGTATTTGAGAATGACAGAAGTGACATTCTTTTGTATTCTTGTCATGTATCGTCGCATGGTTGAAAGGACCTGGAGTCCTGATCCGCAATGATTTAGCATGTGTGGGGGCTGAAGTACTGTGGGAAAATATTCTAGTGAACAAGTCGATTGATTCTTGTTGACTTGAGGGGCACTTTGGTTCTTGGAGGGGGGACACATTTGGGAGTTCGCGGAGAGAGGCGGTGTTGTCTCTGGACATCGTGTAACTACCCTTCCATGAGAGGTATATGAGTGCTGTGCGGATTCTGGAGTTCCTCTCGTGCATGCCCCTTGCGACATCATGAGCCTGACTGTTCAGGAGCCCAGGATTCTGGGCTTGTGGTGCATCGCAAACCGTGTTCATAGTTGAGTCGTCCCAGACAGGTGAAAAGTGAATCGTTGCCATTTTCGGCGCGTCCATTAGACATCCAACTTTCCCCCAAGGATGTCTCGACACAACTTATTTTGGGACAGAGGAAATAGACTGTAATGTTGATGAGTTATGCCAGCATTGACGTAGGGCCTACAGCTAAGAGGGTTGGACGGTCTGAGGTCAGCCTCAATTTGATGCCAATCACCCAAAAATCGATATGGTGTGGTCCCTCACTTTCTGCGAATGTTTCCAAATCCGCTTTGTTTGGTGCGATGCAAGTACATACAAGTGAAATGCTGGGAATCTTGATTGCAAATATGTGCTACAAGTCAACGTCACTTTCGGTGGTGCAGATGGACTTGCCCAACATAGGTGACAGTGCTCAGGCCCAGTGAGCAAGGAACATCACAGATGCAATGCTAACTTAACATATTTTCCTCCTTACAAACACTCTCTTTATCTCCAAGTTGCACACTATGAAGGCTTGGATGTATCAAAATGCCCCTTCTCACTTCCAACACACAGAAGTAAACACAAGAATCTCAATCTCGGAAAAATGTCATGCCCACATCTTCGGTTTGGTCTTCCTCTTCAGGTCGGATATATCTATGTCATTGATCTTGGCAGCCATGATAAAATCGTTCTCCGTCAGGCCTCCAACAGAGTGCGTCCACAGCTCCAACCGCACAGTGTTCCAATTCTCCAGATGGAGGTCCGGATGGTGGTTTTGCTCTTCGGCGACCTCAGCTATTCGCTTGAAACACTCCAATCCGTGGACAAAACTCTTCACCTTCCATTCTGTCCTAAAAGGATAGAAATATCACTAAGCTGAGCAATGTGCCAACAAGAAGAATTTGGTTTTCAGTCAATGGTGTCCCCAAGCAGCATATTCAATCTGTATAAGCGCATCTGGTCACCATCCCCCTATCTGGCTTTCCGTATTTCGTGAGACAGACTGCGCGAGTCTTGCATGAACACATGGACAACTATGAATACGGATGCCCTCTATAGCGCAGAAACATAGTGACATTCCATCGACTTCTTTAATCGTGGTACAGAATTTCCCCAACCCTGCAAGAGTTATTAGCTGTCATATACTGAATGATGATTCTATTCGATTGACGATGTGGACACAGCAGGCAAGTGAATGCAGCATCCGTGGGAAGGCAATCAAGCAATGTGGGCAGCATGGAGAAAACCAGTCATGAAGTCATGGCCTCTCTGGAGGTTTGCTGCCACCCTGCATAATCTCAAGGGGAACACACCAAGGTGGTGACAATCTCAGTGCTCCTTCTGCTAGTAGCTTTGTGGACCTGTGGATTCAACTTGTTGGTGCACTCTTGAAATGCTATTAAACAACCAGAGGTGAATTCTGTGCTCTGCTGCAAACTTGTTCCGGCCCATTGGCCCTGCAGACACTGAGGACAAATGGCTGCAGCAAGTGGCCAGGCTGGCAGTTCTTCTTGGGAGCAATGAGAGCACTATTCACACAATCGTGGTCTCTAGGGTGTTTGCCACGAGTGTGCTCCACATGTCACACCATCCCCATACAGGCAATCCAGACATCAACATCAAAAGTTCTTTTCAATCTGGTACTCTAGTCTGGTTTGCTTGCAACATGCAGTCAGCACAACTCCAAGATCACCAATAAGCCTTTCACAAATGAGCTTGCTCAACAGACCCAGCACAGACTCTGCTTATGTTCTGCCAAAAATTTGTGTGATTGACTTTTGGACACTGCATGAAGTTACTGCATCATCTGTGGGTAGATAATCAGTACACATTGGCAGCTATGGGAGAGCCACTGACATAATCATGGACTCTTGGATGTTCGTTGACATGGCATACTGTCCACTCCAAAACACTGCTGGGCAAAAGACTGATGAACTTACCATAAACAGGTCTGCCCACCACGTGCAAGGTTGCTTAGATCGAAACATCTTCCGTGTTGTTAGCATGTTGCACAAATGCCCAGGTGCACCAAGAACAATACACAACAAAAGCAAGGCACCTAAACTCCGGTGAGCCACAGGAACACCATGCCCAGCTGCACTGCACGTGGCAGACAATCAAGGCAGCCCTGAGCAGCTGTGCCCCTCACCTTATTCTGTCCCTCCCTTCACTGTCCTTGATCACCTTCCACCCAGGGACTTGGTTGCACAGGAGGTCCACCTCTTTGGAAGGCAGAGGTTCCCCACCTTGCTCACATGGGACGCACTTTCTTGTCTTCAATCCCATTATATTGGACATGGCTTCTGGTGGCTTGATCTGATGCTCAGTGTTCGCGTTTCCCAGGACCTTGGACGCGAAGCCGCTTTCCAACTCGCCTGCTGTTGGATCCCGGGCGCCAAAATCCTCTCCAAACAGCTGCTTTTCAGGATCGCTGGCGGCCACGGCCAGCCGGTGCCGATCCCTCCGGCAGCACCGAACAATTTGTCTGTAAGAATGGGGCAGCGATTCAGAAATAGTGGAGGAATTCATGCGACTGCAGGGTTAGGTCAATTCGAACATTTGCAGGTGCACTGTTCCCCATTCTCTTGAGACAAGCGTGTTCAGCGAATCATTGACTCAAGAGAAAACAGCCCTGTTTCACAATACTGCCAGTGGTTTCAGCACCCGAAGCTCGTCAATATCTGATCCTTCACTGCCGGGGAGCTTCGCAATGTGCGCGATGAGCCTTCACACCTTCCAGAAAGTCCCTGGACAGTTGGGCGAAATGATCCGGCAATGCGTCCCACCAAGTTCATTCCCTCGCCGCAACGCGTGCCAGCACCGCTTGGGTTCATGACTCGCTCGCTTGAGCCGTGGCGACAGCGATGGCGGCTGTAATTCGTGTAGGCGGTGCAGGGGGGATGCGTGCCAGGTGGCACCATGTGGCGATGGAGGTGGCGCGGTGGCGCTTGTGCCGCACACAGTCATTTCCAGGGCCTGTATCACGTACATTTCAATGGGCCTGAAATGTTGCCATAGTGCGAAGTGCTGGCGAGTTGGCTGGGTTGAGAAGCAGTGGGCCTGCGGCACCGACTGTGAGGTGCAGATATGGCTGGACGCGCGATGCAGCCCACGCCATGTGGAAACACCACCCAATTCAGCTGGCATTTTGGGTTTGCCCCTTATCGATGGTCAAGGGGTGTACGCCAGGAACCGCAGTCCGGCCGCCTCACCACGCGGTTGGCCTGCGCCCCTCGTATGGGGCAGGTATGGCAACTCGTTTGCCGTCGGTTGCACTTCCAACAGCGCCTGTAGAGGATTTTGACTGCTGATTGCAGCCTGACGGGTTTTGAGTTGGTTGGCCATGCTGCAGGATCTTGAATTGTCTTCACTTACCGCTGTGGGGCCTCTGGACGGGTGAGACGCTTCTTTCGCTGCTTTCAACAACTGTGTGGTTCTGGAAAAGGTCGCTTTTTGAGTGTGCCACATTGGAACCACTGTCCATTGCGTGAATTGAAAATTGGCCATTCCAGCACGCCATGCCCTTGTTGTTAGATATGGATGTCATCAACACAATACTTCGACAAGCTTCCTATTGTCGCCTTGTATTGAAATCTCATAAATCCCTTCAGTACTTTGGTTTATGGCTGATTTTGTTTTGAATTGGCCTTCCTTTTGTTCCAGCGGAACGATGTCCAAAGAGCACAATATCCAAAAGGCTGAAATGTTGATTTCGTAGTGCTTGAAATAGATTGTTCTCAACCTGGCATCCATGTATGCTGATTCATCTTTTCAAGAAAATTTACACTCTCGAGTCACTGGCTGGTGTGCAGGAGGGAAAAATTCTGTGTGTCAATTGTCACACGCAGAAAAATCGCCACAGAAATCAAGTGCATCAAGTTCTCAGTACCATCATTTTGTCTGAAATTTGCAGGCGATATGGATCCAAAGTCTCAAGCCTTCGCTCGTTGTTCAGCGAATTTGGCCTCATCAAATGGAGGGTGTTTGTTGAATGCCGCTGGTTGCGACATCTGGCTGACTTGCCTGGAGTTCCAGAGATTGGACCATTGAGTACAGACGCTTCTGCAATATTGGAAGAACTTGAGGCAGGGTTTACTTTGGGAGATGCGGAGAGGGTAAGTTTTGCCAATGGCCTGTTGTGCAAAGGGACCTGGACACCTGCTTCTGAGGGGACAAAATGTGCAAGCTTGTGGCCCTTGGATTATTGGGCATGTTGCAAAACGATGCTGCAGCTGCAGACTATACATTGCGATTCTGCACCATGTGACATGCAAACACATTCACAATACTCTGGCCAGTGATTGAACATTCCCAAGCTTCCATTTACCAGATGCTGCTTGTGCAAGCGCCTGCAAACCAGAGCTTGTAAGCATGACCTGTAGACACCTCACTACTAATCCTCTGCACAGATCATGCGGTATACAATTCCTGGGCGCCAGGGCTGGTGGCTTGTACACATTTACACTGTTCGATGTGACAGGATCGCTATTGGAGCAGATCAACAGGCTGTACTGTGGGTCCTGCATCCCACTCTCACAAATGCACAAGTACCTGCCCAATGCAACCTGAAACATGCAACTGAACCATTCTACATGGAACAGGCCAACACACGCATGTGAATTTCCAGGCCGCTTCCGTGGTATAAGATTTGGTGGCTGTTTTGCCACCACAGGTCAAAGATGTGGAGAGTGTGACCAACCATGATGTCAAGGCAGTGGAGTATATGCTGAAAAAGAGGTTTGAAGTGAACAAGGAGTTGTCAAGCATCATGGAATTTACCCATTTTGCTTGCACCTCTGAAGACATCAACAATCTTGCCTACGCACTTATTGTGAAGGAAGCAACTAGACTTGAGGTGAGGGATTTCCTGAAGCCTGACAGAGTGAAGTTGTTAACAACAAGGTCTATGCAGCGTCGTTTGATTACCTTTCTCAAATTACCACACTTGAGTATCCTTGGCATTGTTGCTTCCTTGTACTCAGATGCTATGAAAATGGCATCTAATTGTTTGTGATGTAAGCTGAAGGGAACGATGTGACTGTGTGCTACATTGCGTTGTTTATTGCAGTGACAAATGGAAATTTATGTGAGTTATCTGACTGTTACACCTTTTTTTTCGCTGAGAAAGACCAGGCTGAAGCGTTTTGCTCACTAAACACAAGCTGTTGTTTTAGGTTTGATAACAAAATCTGACCATGAAGCCATTTACATTGTGCTTTTGTTGAAGGTGCTCCCTGCCATGGATGAGCTCATTTCTAAAATTGCTACCCTTGCCCACGAGTATGCCGATGCTGCAATGTTGGCACGCACACATGGCCAGCCAGCATCGCCCACGACAATGGGGAAGGAACTGGCAGTTTTTGCTTTTCATCTGCAGCAGCAGAGGGACAAGGTGACAGCTATTGTCAATGCCATGCAGCCACTGCAACGATCATCCAGTCGGTCATGCCTGTGTTTATGTGGCATTTCAACACCAAAGGTCATAGAGTGGCATCGCCAGTGGTTGCACAGGAAAAACGCCATTTTACATATGACAGGGCTCCAGTCCAAGCAAGAAGTGTTGGAATTGCTTCTATACTTTCAAAACTGAGAAGTTTCTGATTGAGCTGAAACAGTTCACAGTATCGAAGGTGTGAGCTACAGTAGAGCGAGTGAATGGTTTATGTGTAGTTGTTTCTCAGTATCCTTGCTGTAAACCTACTTGGATCGGTATTCCGTTAACTAGCCACTCAACAGTTGTTTTAGGTAAACTTGTGGATCAAGTTGATGTATATGGTCAGGTGGTCAACCTCCACAATCTCGGAAAGATGGCAGGAGATGTAGGCAACTACAATGCGCACACGGCTGCCTACCCTAACGTTGACATGAAAAGAACCCAGTTGGTGTGTGTTGGTGTTCAGGTGGCGGATGTCCGCATTCTAGGAAAGATGGCAGGAGCAGTAGGCAACTACAATGCCCACATGGCTGCCTACCCTAATGTTGACTGGATGAAAACAACACAAGATTTTGTGTCTTCTCTTGGTGAGTGTCGCAGGCATGCCATAAACTGGAGGGTGTGCTGTGCTGTGCTGTGCTGTGCTGTGAGCAACGGCTCCACAGATAGTGGATGCATATGTGCTGTCACTTGTCTTTGTTGTCTAGCAGGAATGGAAGGCAGTGATTTTCCTGTATTTTGGTACTGTGTTTGTGGAATTCATTGCAAGACATTTTGTATGTTGGAATAAGCAGACTTGATCCTTGTTTGGTCTCAATGAAGGTAACAATCGTCGAAGTTTGGGCACCCCCTTCCTGAACAATATTCTTGAAGCTTTTTTTGCATACCTTGACAGTGGTGCAGCCTCTGAGTGCGACATGAAGACTTGCTCCAGATAGTTCTTCCCCACTTTGCAAGCAGCCATGGTCAGATGTTGTGCATCTTTGGAATCCTTGCTTTAGTAAATGTTGACAAATTGACGCCGTTGTTTTCAGATTGATTTGTTGTAGTTTTTCTCATGGACGCTAGTGAGAACTGGACGTTCTGCGCCCCCAAGCCAAGGAACCAAATTCATTCAATGCCAAATTGAAAATGTCATTGCTTGCATTGTGGTGCAAATTGTGGCAGTAATCTACACTTCACTGCCCTATCATTTGGCCATCCCGGCACCATCCTCATGGGCTACAGCTCAGACAACACTGTGTAACAGACAAGACTTCTGAAACAAAGGTAGCACAGATATGTTTAAGCAGAAGAATATTTGCATGGATCTTTACTGCTTTTGCCATAATTACATCCGTTTCACACGGTTGTAGTCTCAATGGCTGCAGGCAGCCACTTCCAAGGATTATCAGCATACATTTACACTTGCCTGGGTCTGCACTGTCTGGAATTCACAGAGCTGAGTGCATAGCACTTTACGGCTTGGTGAGAAGAGGTGGTTGCTTTGGCTTCTTGAACATGCAGATCGAACTTTGGTTCTTGTTTTCGCTGCTCTGCTTCAGGGCTTGATTGGAACCCTTATGTGACCCAGATTGAGCCTCATCACTACATTGCTGAGCTGTTCCACGCCATGGCAAGGTTCAACACTACCCTACTGGACTTTGACAAAGATATTTGGGGCTACATATCTATGAACTACTTCCGGCAACGCACCAATAAAGGGGAAGTTGGTTCCTCAACGATGCCCCACAAGGTTGGCAGATTGCTGGACCTGCACCATCATTTTGCTGTACTGTTTTGAGTGTTTGGTGACTAATTTGGCATTGCTGTTGTTTGCGACGAGTAGTGTTTCAGATTGAATCTATGTGCATGAAGTGATTGGCATGAACTGTTGCTCACAGCCTTAGGGGAAAGATTCCTGAATTCAGAAACATGCAGTGACAAAGGAATATGCTGCATGACTTGATGCATCAGTTTGTCCTCTTTGGGGTGATTTGATTTCGCCGGCCACAACGTTCGCGTTCAAAGTGGCAGTGGATGTGCTGAAAGATTGCAGCTTGGACCAGAGCTGAGAGCACCGGCATAGGTGGATAGACTGCTTGCTTGCTGTATTTGTCACTCACACAACTAAGTTTAGAACTGTTGGCGATTGCGATGAGTACAGGTTAATCCCATTGATTTCGAAAACTCTGAAGGCAACCTGGGGATCGCCAATGCTCTGCTGCTCCATCTGGCAGCGAAGCTGCCCATATCCAGGTTTCAGCGCGACCTGACGGACTCAACTGCCCTCCGAAATGTTGGTGTGGCCATGGGACATAGCATCCTTGGGTACAAGTCTGCAAGCAGGGGCTGCAGAAAGCTGGTGTTGGATCAGGAGACACTGGCCAGAGACCTTGATAGCCGATGGGAGGTGCTGGGAGAGGCTGTTCAGACTGTGATGCGCAGATATGGAGTCCCCGAGCCTTATGAAAAGCTTAAGGAGTTCACGCGAGGCAAAGATGTGTCTCGAGAAGGGATGAAAGATTTTGTGGATGGGCTGGATGTCCCAGATGATGCAAAGGTGGGCTGTTGGCTTTGGAAAAAAGTATGTTGTGACCTTGGCTTGCTACCAGTTTGAGCAGCCGTCTTTCGTCCTCAAAAACTTGTTTGAAAATATGTCAACGCAGGCCAGATCGCTTACTTGTGTGATATGTTTTAGGACTATGGTGTGGTCTTAAATTGGTGGCGCTGATACTGGAAAACGTGCATGGCTGGAAATGGCTCTTGCGACAGCTAATTTCAGAAAGAGAATACCGCATGTTTGCAACGGCTGTCCCCCTCCAAGCAAAGACTACAACATGAGCACATTGCTGACAGATGAAAGATGTACATCAGTGCCTGGAATGTTTGACTGCATTGTTTGATTTCAAGAATCAATGTTGTTGTCAATGGTTGATGCTTGCCTGACATGGAGGCATGTTAGCTGCTTCACGTATTGTTCGTTTGGATGGTTTGGTCTCACGTTGTGCAGCATTGGTGCACAGGCAGCCTTGATGGAACTCACACCCCAGACCTACATTGGCAACGCAGAAGATCAAGCTCGAAGCATATACCGGTACACAAATGGGAGGCAATGATGTGAAACAGCAGCCTGCTGCAGACTTTGCAGATTCCTACACCTGTTCAGTGTAAAAAAGGTCCTGGACAGCAGGTTGTGTGATTGAGAGGCATTGACTGTGGTTGGGATAATATCTGAACTCGCTCTTTCTGGCAACCTTTTTTGCATCGTAGCATTTCTCTTACTGCTGCTTTGAGCCAATGCAATGTAATTGCATGTGACTATGTTATCACCCATGGCCGATTTCTTTGCCTTGGGCAGCCCATGTTTGTGGTGTCAGTAGTGTCTTGTTGCATCCCTATACTCTCTCAGGAGAAAGCTGTACGAACAACTGGCTGTACTTGCAGCTTTCCTGTTGTCGCTGGCACCTGGGCTGGTCATGTATGGAGTCTTGATGCGGACATCCAGCACGTCATGCCAACACAGAGGATTTGCGTTGGTACCTGCTATTTGCATTTCAAACACATCATTGTACCAGATCACTGCACGTTAATACCTTCACACGCATCGATGGCTGAACACCATGAGTTGAATGCCTGTATGAACTGGATCCATCCAGCTACATCCAGGGGAAGTTCTTCTCCAAGTTCTTGCTAAATTGCTCCTCATGCTACAATTTATCAACAATTACAGATTGCTTGCTTCACATCATCCAACTTTTGCATCCATAGTGTGAACTACAGACAAAGGGGAATGCGCAGAGTCTGGCCAGGGAAGATCTTGTGTGGGTTCGGAAGTTGATACTTGTTTTCATGGAATGTCTCTCCTCCAGTCAATCCATACTGCGGGC